ATGAATGCTTTAGTTGAACTTGTTACAGTAAATGGAAGACCTTTGAATATTATTGAGGATTCGGGTTTAAAAAAATTATTGACCCTATTAGTAAAGCAATTGGAAGATCAATTAATCGCTTTAAAATTAAGGACTTAGTGGTTAATGAATCGAAAAAAATACAAGCAAAAATAATAAATGAAGCAAAAAACAAATTATCATTAAAAATTGATTCCGCCCAAAGATTAGGGAGAAATATTCTAGGAATAAATATACAGTATATAAAAGGAGATAATATAATATTAAGAAATTTAGCTATGAAGGAGATTAAGGAGAGTTCAACTTCTGAAAATATAAAAAGAATGATACTAGAAACATTAAATAAATTTAATATTCCTATTAGAAACGTTTATACAATTACTACAGACAACGGTGCTAATCTCGTAAAATCAATCAAATTATTAAATGAATGTTCACTGGAAGAAATAGATGATATAGATGATGATGATAATAATTATGAGGAAATAAGTCAAATTGATTTACAGGAAATAATAAAAGATTTCTCCACAAAAATATACTATATCAGATGTGCAGCCCATACGTTACAATTGGCTATTAATGATTCCTTAAAAAATAATCAATTTAAAACTATAATTGATAAAGCAAGGGATGTTGTAAAATATTTAAGAACTCCCACAATTGTAAGAATATTAAAATCGATGAAAAGGCAAATGGCAATATTAGATTGCACAACACGTTGGTCCTCTATTTGTATGATGCTAGAGAGATTAATAAGTTTGAAAAATTTCTGTAATGATTTTATTATAGGAGCATGTGAAGTCATTTTGTCGGAAGATGATTGGAATCAAATAAAAGACCTTACTAGTGTGTTGGTTCCTTTAAAAATTACATTAAGATTACAAGCAGAACAGTTATGTTTATCGGATTTCTATGGCATATGGATAAGATGTCGATTAGAGTTAGAAAGATTTACAAATTTTTTTTCATATGAAATATTAGAAAATATGAAAATTAGAGAGCAACAATATTTACAAAATAGTGTTGTATATGCTTAAATATATTTAGACCCTCGATATCAAGTTTTATTAAGTATTGAGCAAAAACAAATGGCTATATACCATCTTGAGGATTTATGGCATACCCAAAACTTTATTATTAACAATATATTGGAGGCTACTACAATATCTACTGATTGTGGCGAGAACAATGATAATGAAAGCAATATTGATGATCTGGAAATTTTACTATTAGATAGAGAGAAAAAAATCAAATTATCGTTAGAAAGAAAGGAGCAAAAAATACCTATTGTATCTTTATTAGAAAAGTTCTCCGAAGTAAAGAGAATAAATAAAGATGGAAATATTTTAAAATTCTGGGAAGAAAATTCTTCTATATATCCAGAATTATATACCTTGTCTAGAATCGTCATGGCTGTGCCAGCGACACAAGTACAATAATTTATGTATTATAAAAATGACTCTATTTTAGGTCAGCGTAGAACGAGGATTTTCTTCGTTGAAATATATATTGTCCAATTTATTAGGTAATCTGAAGGAAGATATTTTAGATGATATCATGATTGTTCGATTGAATAAAATATTTAAAATATAAATTATTTCACTTTGAATTATGAATGTGTATATATTGAAGTATAATAAAAATAAAAAAATGAATGAAAAAAAGTCTTATTTTGAGTCATTATTTTTATGTTCCCTGAACCCGAACCCTGGTCCTTTTAGAATTTATTACAGGACCCGAACCCGGACCCTTTTTTTGTCGAAGGGTTCACATCCCTGATATTTATAGAAAATAAATTTTAAAAATAATTTTTGGTGGCTTTTTACATATAATCAAATTTAAAATACTCATAAAGAAAAGTGGGGTTCTGATTTTATAAAATTTTGAACAAACATTACTAAATTATCATTTTATATGAGTACAAAAAAAATTAGAGTTGAGCTTTACAACTTCATAAACGTACTATTATTTTTATTCGCTATTATAGATGGCGTATTCCATTTTCTTCATCTAAATTAGTAATCTTTTCATTTCTAAACAATAAATAATCTAAAAGCTTCCTATCACAACAATTTAATGCCTGGCAGAGTTGAGCTTTACAACTTCATAAACGTACTATTATTTTTATTCGCTATTATAGATGGCGTATTCCATTTTCTTCATCTAAATTAGTAATCTTTTCATTTCTAAACAATAAATAATCTAAAAGCTTCCTATCACAACAATTTAATGCCTGGCAGTGGACAAGGCTTTGTGATACAAGTTAGGCTTTAGGCTGTGCTGTTCATAGACCTGTGAGTCGCCGGCTCATGCCGGAACAGCCGCCGATTTTTTTTTATGGCGGAGGCGTGGCGTGTATAATTTTTAGAATGCTGTTTATTAATTATAGTTATATATTAAATTATTATTTAAATTTGAATAATAACATAAATGAAATTAAAATATAAATTGTATTTTATTGATATATATATAATAGAATAGTATATAATACCATTCCTACATCATATTTCATTTCCACAAACAATAGGTATTAATTATTTTTATGGACTTGCACGAAACCACCCTATATACAATTATGAAGTAATAACTCTATCTACTGATCTTAAATCAAGTTATGTCTAGAGGTAATTTGGAAATTTTATTTTGATAAATGAAAATAAGAAAAGCACAATAAGGCCTGATTATATTAATTGTGAACGTTGCTTAAAATTGGGGAAAGAAAAATAAGGAAGATTAGGATAAACATAATCAATTTTCACAGTAATTTATTTTAATTTTAGACTTAATTTATATATTTTATATTTTAGTTATGAAATAAAATGTTTTAGTAAAAAATATAAGTACAAGTAACCTTTCTCGGCACTTATTAAATTAATTATAAAAACTTTATTTTGAAAGTTCAAAACTAAATCAAATTTTTTATTTTTTTCATTCCAGCTCTAATTATTTTGATGTTTTTTAAAATCTTATTAATGTATAAAATAAATATGAAATTTAAGTTGACAGGGTAAAATATTTTAAATCAAAATTTACATCTAAAAGATGAAGACGACTTATTAACAAAAGGTACCGTCACTCTTAAATTAAACGGGTACTGATAGTAGGGTAAATTACTGCCAAACATGGATGCAAATTTATTGCACTGGAGACGCTCTCTATAGGGCGGTGGAGTGTCCACTTAATTGTAGGATGTCTCCTCAGTGTATAATACGATACGATAATATAATTTCGAAGCTTGAAATGATCGGTCTATAAATCAAAAGTGATAGAACCGGATTTTGGTTCAGAATCAATCAGATTTAAAACTTGCGCCTTTATAGATAAATAAACATTACCAGTGCACCCTGACTAATGGCTGTCCTATTCGAAAATTCTATAATGAATCAATTATTTTATATTTCTATTTTTTCATTTTATTTAAATTTTAAACCTTTAGAAAATCAGTCATCCCTTTATTTTCTATAGAATCAAATGGCATTAAATCTAAGCAACACATCAAAACATAACTTCGGCCTATTAAATTTCATATTTGTTTTTTACATTAAAAAGATATTTAAAAACGTCAAAATAATTTAAGCTGGAATAAAACAAATAAAAAATTTGATTCAATGTTTATACATTAAAAAGATCTTGAAATAGACTGACAATAAACAAACTAAAAATTTAGTTGTTTTGAACTTTCAAAATAAAGCTTAATAAAATTAATTTAATAAACCAATTAAATTTTAAATAAATAAAATAAACAATAATGAGCCATTTTTTATCTTTTATAATGTTGTTATATCCTGGTGTTGGCTTTAAAAACATTTTTAGACTTTGAATGGATTTATTATTATTAATTTTTTAAGATATTTTATAAACATTAACTAAGTGCTGAGAGAGGTTACTTGTACTTATATTTTTACATTTTATTTCATAACTAAAATATAAATTATATATATAAATAAGTCTAAAATTAAAATAAATTCTGTGAAAATGGATTATGTTTATCCGAATCTTCCTCATCTTTTTTTCCCCAATTTAAAGCAAGATTTACAATAAATATAATCAGGCATTATTGTGCTTTTCTTATTTTCATTCTTTAAAATAAGATTTCTTACCTCTAGACTGTTGTAATTATTTAAAAATAATTATAATTAATTGTTAGCTATTAAATTATCTATTGAAATATATTGAAGTATTATGTGGAAGTGTATCACATAATCTTAAAACTATTCTACTTTCAACATTGATTTTATCAGGAGTAGATTCAGTAGAACTTACCTTTCCTTCATTCAGCATAAAATCTAAAAGAAAAAACACACTTTTTGGGGTATTTATAAAATAAGATTTTAAAAAAATTCAATGATACATTGGTAATTATTTTAATATACAATTATTTTTTAAAAATATTTTTAATTATTAAAGTATAATAGGTGAACCGTGAGAGAATGGGATTTATTCAATGGCCTTAAGAAGATACATCCAATGAATAAGCTTATAATTTATATATTTGATTGGTCTGAATAATTCTAAGATAATCTGGCCACGATCATTAAGTTCAAATCTTTTTAAGGATAAAATCATAAACTCCTTGATTTCTTATAAGTTTAAATTTTATTAACCCAGCCAGGCATAAAGGCTGAGCTCAGAACTCTAATGCATGTGAAATAAATGCTTTACTGCCTGATAATATATAGAAATCCATTAATAATAGAACCTATGGTATATTTTAAAGTTAAAGAACTACATGGCTCAATAAAGTATACATTGCATTTTGATATTAAATTTAATATTTACAATTGTGTAGTTTTTTCGTCAACAAATGATTAAATGAAATCAACACTTAAAATATTTTGGACATTATGTTATAAAAGCTGGGTAGTTAAAGCTTTATCCATATACAAGGTTCTAGAGAATATTTTTTTAAAACAGACATTACTAATTTATAATTTAACACATATGTCTAATAATGATATATTTTAAAATTTAAATTCATTTACACAGTGGAATTCAGCAAGGCGATTTTGAGATAATAAGAATAACAGATTTAATCCAAGATTTTCAAAATAATAAGCAGATTCAGGCAGTAAATTTCTAATAATTTATTTATAAATTAATATGAATATAATTATCACTTGTAATCATAATAGTATGCTTTTAGTTTTGATATATATTGTTCAAAAGATATAATATCTTGAGCTTCAATACTCCATTGGATACCATATTCCAGAACATCTCCTAAAAATATTATAGCGATAAAATAAAATTATAATTACTGGCTATTAATAATTCTTGCTTAGATAGAGGGGTTGTTTGATCAATAGGAAAAAAATTTAATGTCATAAGACTATTCTGAAAAAAAAAATTTGAAAAAAAAATAAAATCTATAATATACTTTCAAATTTTGTAAAATTAGCCCACATTTTTCTAAATTTCGAGATGGTTTTTCCCATTCTTCTTTAAACTCCTTTATTTTTGAGCTAAAGTGATAAATTATTTGATTCATCCTATCGTATCGACTCTTAAAAAAAAATTAAGTGACATGTTCCGTCAGCTTTGAGACGCAGGTTAACCTGTAATTTCTTTATCTTCGTCTTTATTTGCAAGTTGGTCATAGACCTGCCCAAAGATGAGCGTACTTGAATTATATGATGCCAATTTTTTTTCTCAAGGTTACCAACAAACCTTGTAACCCAGATATGAGGTTATATGAGGGTAGAACTACACTCGACCTATATATATGTTTATTAATGAGTATAGCAAACCCAAATAGAAGGCTAAAAACACATGTTTTGTCATTTCATAATGCTCAACAGTTGTAATTATTTTGTCTGTAAAAAAAAATTGTTATTATTAAAAATTTGGCGGGGAAGTTAGATGGGGGGGGGGGGGGCTACAAATTTTTATATTATTAACAAAATTCAGGGGGGTCGATAGCCCTTACAATCTCAGGGGGCTCAACTAAAAATGCCCTCTAATTTGTGGGTCTTCGGCTGGGTTTTTTATTAATATATTATATTTTTAAAATTTGCTATCTGAACAATTATTCTGAATTTCATATTTTATCATTTATTAATTCTGCATACAAAATAAGCACATAAAAAATTAAAACAATACAATTTCTAAAAATAATATTTTTAATATAAAATCTATTTATTACAGTATAAAATATTTTCGATTACTGAAATTAAAAAATTTTGCATCTTAAAAATTACAAGTTATAAAAAAGGTTAATTAGTTCATACATGTGCCTCAATTGATAATGGATTTAAATAACCACATATTATAAAATAATTCTTAGCAGGTTACATTGACAAAAGGTCATGAAACTAATATAACTCTCTGTTACCATTTTAGACAATGTTTTCTAGAATGGACCAATAAGGGAAAATTTATAGGCCTAACCAAATCAACAATTTTTGAAGAAGAGAATAAAAAAACCAATCCAAATCATAAAACTATATCGTGGTTAGAGCTTCCTCTTAGATGACATGATGGAAGCATAAGTAATTGAGAAAATTATTGTGAGATATTAAATTTCTAAAAGATTATCTTCCTTTTTAAAATATACTCGTATTGAAAATTTAACTCAAAATTATTTTTCAAAGAAGAAAAAATAGCTCTCTTAAAAACACGTAAAGAAAGAGAAGAAAATATATATAATTTATTACATCCATTATGGAATGAATAATAATATGTTTAATTTTTAATAATATTTTTAAATAAGTAGATGGCGTTAAAGAATTGAATGCAAATTGTTACTTATATTTTGTCAGTAGTGGATAATAACTTATTTATTCCCAATATAAAATAAAAACTAGATTAAAAAAATATTAATTTTTACCAAAGTTATTATCAAAATTGATCAATATCTTTTTCATATATTTTATTTTAACTTTAATGTTGATTTTTTCATTTTAAATATTTGCGCAAGTGGAGCACTCCAATTCTAGACCGACGATTTATTATCAAAAGCATTTATTAGTAAAATTTATTAAAATATTAACTGTAATATATTATACAACTGTCAAATACGTCTGTAAGTAACATTTTACCTAATATTTTATAACCATTTATATATAATAGAGGATTATAAAATATATGTCTACTTACTTTTTATAAAGAAATCTCTTATAATTATTTGGATCTTTAAAATATTTTTAGGAAGAGGCATGGTAATTAAATTTAAAAATGAATAATTAATTAGTGATTTTTAACTCTGCTAATTACAAAATTAAATTAGTTAATTTTCTGTTGTAATTGTTTTTTTTATTCTCCTTAAAACTATTTGTTTTTGTTTTGTTTTGGTAATGACATTCAAATTTTAAATTTTTTTTTTGTTAATGACATTGAAATACAAGTTCTAATTGTTAATGACTTTACAAAATAGAAGTATTAAAATACGAGGTCAAACGTTGTTGATAGAAGGACACAATAAGGAGGACAATAGGTATGGAAGAGTTACTTGGTTGCCAGTGCAGGAAATGTTGCAAGGATGGGCGAGTAATAAGGATTTGAAATGGAGCGAGGATGAAAAAAGAAGTGAGATGGAGGAAGAATGGGATAATATAGAGGTCGTGGAGAGTTGACAAGGTCATTTAGGACGGAAGGTCAGAGAAATAGGAATATTGTATACATAGGCGTAGCCAGGGGGGGGACAAGGGGAAATCCCGCCCCTTCAGAAATTTATCACTTTTTGTAAATATCATTTATAGCTAATAAAAATATCCCCCTTAGTCCTCCCCCCACTCCCTGACCCTCATATATGTATGTATATATCTTAAATAATAATTTAAAAGAAAGAATGTAAAAGTTGATATTTTTTTATAAAACTATTCATCATAATTTATAGATTTTTGAGAAAATAAATGTATAAATATATAAAATGAACCAAAAATGTTTTTTAATAAATGGAATATAGGCCAAGGATAAGTCTTAAGACAGAAGTGAAATGTATTATAATTATTAATAATAGATCTATAAAATTACTAAATAATATAATATATCAAATATAATTTTTTATAAAGTGAGTAATTTTAATTTATTTATCTCAATAAATGTAAAATATAATTATAAAACTATTGATAAAATTAAATCATAAATTAAAAAAATATTAAAGCACAATATAAACAGTGGAATATTATATGTCGTCGATTTACAATATATCTAATTATCAAATGACAATCAAGTATTTTTACCAATATAGGGAATTATATATTTTACAGAAAACTATAAAATATTGATAAGGACATCAGAAAATATCTTTTAAAGACATTGTGGGATGAATAATATGAAGATTAAATTTATATATACTTAAATAAAATAGATGGCGTTAAATAATTGTATGCATATTGTTGCTATATTTAATATTAAGAGCATTGATTAGTAAATTTTGTCAGATTATTAACTGTAATATATTCTCTAACTGTCAAATATGTCTGTAAAAGTGGAATTTTACCTAGTATTTTATAACTAATTCTATATAATAGAGTAAAATCAACTATATGTCTACTTACTTATTATAAATAAATTTTTTATAATTGTTTGGAATAAATTATTATTTATATTAAGGTATATACAATACAAGTAATTTATTATATTTTTATTTTATATAAACTAATAAAAATATATTTCATATTTGTTCCAGGTTATTTTTTTTATTAAAATTTGTAAAAATATTTTATGACTATATATAGGGTTAAAGTAACCCGGCCGAAGGCCAGGGAAAAGCGGGCCGAAGGCCCGCCCAAAAGAGGGTCTGGGGGCTAAGCCCCCAATAATTTTTTGATTTCCCCCCCCCTTATGAAAATCCTGGCTACGCCTATGATTGTATATTATAAATATGGTGTAAAAGGGCACATAGCCATTAACTGTCGGGACATTAGATGTTTCAAGTGTGGCCACAGTGGTCATATTTTGACGTTTTGTCCCCTAAGCAAGACAGATTGAGATGCATTGGATGTGGTAGATTTGGGCATCGGAAGGAGAATTGTAATGTTGGAAATGTCAATACGAGAGGAAGGTTCCCTCAGAGGGGAGAAGTATCGAACGCCAATAATGTGAGAATGACAGAAATTGAAAACGATGGCAGAGGTGCAGTGACTCTGGAGATAGTGAAAGAGGGTGAAATTGTATGTTTTAAATGCCGGAAGGAAGGGCATTGGGCAAGGGATTGTAAAAAAAGGTGACCGTGATAGCGAGCCAAAGGAAATGCAGGCCGTGAGATAGGAACGAAATGAGGCAACATTAGAGTAGGGAGAGGGGAAAGGGAAATACGGATGTTGCAAGGTGAAGGAGAAGGGAGTTTTGTTTATAATTCCTGTCCGAGAGTATGGCTAAACTTTAATGGAAAGGTGGTATCAATGTTGTTTGATGCAGGAGCGGCGATATCGGTAATGGGATATGAAATCGTAAATTATGGCCGAGGGGAGTTATAAGCAATGAGGAAATTTGTGTAAGGCAGTTTAATGGATTAGAAATAACGGTTATGGGCAGAGTAAAAAACTGAGATTTGTATACAGGGGAGCTAAAAGTGCTGGATTTGGATAATGTATCGGAGGGTAGAAACAGTGTTGGGATGGAATTGGATCAAGAGAGTTGGTCCGGCTTACGATTTATGGGGGGTATTTGCGAGATGTGGTGTGTTTGTACCCATGGATAGCGAAGGTAGAGATATGATCATGAAAACAGTGAGGGATGAATGAAAGGAAATAGAGCCGGTAGGTAAGGCGGAATCGATCGAAGGAAGGGATAACATTGAGATGAATGAAGGCGAGTCCCTTTATTGGGAAGAAAGTGAGATAATTACAGTGAAAGATCGTGTAGATGCGATAAGGGAAGTCAAATGTTGGGAAAAGGGAAAAGGAGATGTTGACGATGAGAAAGGAGGAAATGAGACCGCCAGTTCGAGGTGTGGGAAATGGAGAATTCTCGTGCGAGAAGATGCAAGAACAAGTAAATGAGGGAAGGAGACCGGAGAGGTCGGAGGAGGAATTGAAATGTCTGCAAAAGGAAGTAGAGCGATTGAAAAAGGAGTATGATAAAATTTTTAATGAAGAGTTGGGTTGTTTAAGAGATTATGAAGTTAAAATACAGATGAAGGATAGATGCGTTCCAAAATATTGTGCTGTTCGTAGAGTACCTTTTGAGTGTAGACTAGAGGTAGAACAAAAGCTAGATCGCTGGGTAAAGGATGGCTTTGTAGGCCTGGTTGAGTACAATTAGTGGGCGACTCCTTTGGTACCCGTTAAAGAGGCCAATGAAAAGTTGCGGTTGTGTGCGGATTTCCGGGTAACGTTGAATCCATGGGTTGCTGAAGTGAAGTATCCGTTACCTAGAATTGAAGAAATATTGGCTAATTTGAAGAGGGGCAGATATTTTTCGAAAGGAGATTTTTCGAATGCATATTTGCAGTTGCGGGTAAGAAGCAGAAATTTTTAACGATAACCACGCCAAAGGAGTTATTTGCCTTTCGGAGGTTGCCGTTTGGATTGAGCGTTTCTGCCCCCATTTTTTAGCGAACGATGGGGGCTGGGTTTCAGGGATTAGAGGGA